AGTTCAGCCTGTTTTTTTGCCTGCCCCAGAATCCGGAGGCTTCCCTCTGGCCTCTGGGAGGGGGAAAATGGGCTCCGGAAGCTGGAAACAGGCCCATTTCCAGACTTCTGGAACTTCCAGTTCGGCCCGTTTTTCGCCCTCTCAGAGCCTCCACGCGGACCCTGCGCTTACCTACATCCAAAATGGGCTGCATGAGACTCCTGGGAGGGGAGGGCGTGGGGTGGGAGGAGCCTGCCAGTCACTTCAATTACCGGTGCGGCAACCCCGATGTAAATTTAACATCCGGTTCACTCGAACCGGTCCAAACCGGCAGAATCCCACTCCTGTGTGGTTCTCCGTTCCCTTTTCCAGGGTCCCCAAAATTAGCTAAGCAAGCAACATACCCTCTTTTCCTGCCTTAAAATATCCATGAAACCTTCTGAAAAAACCAGAAAATGAAGATGAAGATGGTAGGCTCTCCACTGTCCATGGAAGGTCTCGGGAGACAGCTGACTGTAGTCCAACCAGTCAGTTGTTGCTTCCAGGGTAAGAAAGTTCCTGGTCTGGCTTAAATCTTGTCTCCGCTGACGATTGCAGTAGTTGCCCAAATCTTTAACCAGAGTATAGAATTCTCAGCCAATGGAGTCAAAGAGAGTTCCTACACATCTGGAGAAAAACAGCTGGGGTAGGAAGAATCAGAACAGTAAAAACAGTTCCTTCCCTGAATATTTTAGTTGCAATCCTGCTGTTTTCTTCTTCTTTTTTGTTTTTATTTTGCTTTTGATTTTTTTTTGTCTTTTCCAGTCTAGTTTGGATATATTTATTTATTTTCTGGGTATTAAAGCAATCAATTTAAACGCTATGAGTCACCCATGGGGTTTTCTATTGACCTCTCATGGTATTTATATTCCTAGTGTTGTAGTGGTCCTGTTAATTTTAATTTAGTGTGTGCTTGCAGCTAAAGGCAGTACTGTAAATCAATACAATATAGAACACTCCAGCATTCAATCTTCACAATATCAGCCCCTATCAAAAGAAAACAGTGAAGTAATCAAAACAAGACATTTCCTAATTGTTAGCACAGCCATTAATATTAGCATCAAGCAATTACAACCAGATCTCTTAGCTTCATAAAGGACTAGCAAAAGATATATTTTGAGGGCTTTTTAATACTTCAGGATATAGCATTCCAGATATTAATCAAAACAGAGTTCATCCAGAGGGCAGAATGAGATCTTTCGTTTGTAGTCTGTTAGATTAACCACTTCTACTTTTTTTAAAAAAAATGGTATTTATCAGAATCTAGCAAGATCTGCATTTTTTGCTAAGTGGAATTTATAGACATGCATCACAATTAGTTCCAAATCTCATATCTGCCCTCTGGTGGATTTTTTCATACTGGCAGAATTTATTTAGAGCATTGACAATTGAGGAGACAGTTTAGAAAGGGCCTTTCTGCACTTCTACCCACCTTTTAGGTTCCTTAAGACAGTGATCGCCAACCAGTGGGCCAGGGACCACTGGTGATCCATGAGAAAATTTTGGTGGTTCACAGAGAAATGTCACCCCCAAAGCACTCCCCCACCCAAAGCAATTAATCCAGGCTGCGCGGGAACACAAGGTTTGCGTCACTTGCATTGTGAACAACATGGTGGGGAGGGGGGGAGGGGAGGAGCGAAGGGCAGAGGGGGAGAACTTGCTCCACTCACCCCATGCGCCTGGCCTGGCCACCGGACTGCTTCTTTCCACTTCTTTCTTCTGCTTTTCGCTGTACGCGAGGAAAACAGCAGAAGTCTTTTTTTCTCTCCCCCAAACTCTGCCAGAAATGAGTCTTTGGCATCCTGCTCCAAGAGGCTGCGCCGGCAAGACTCATTTCTGGTGGAGTTTAGGGGAGAGAAAGAAAGACTTCTTCTGCTTTCCTTGCATGAAGCCAAAAGTCTCTCTCTCTCTGTCTCTCTCTCTCTTCCCCCCCCCCCCGAGAACGGAGCTGGAGACAGTATCCTGCAATCCCAAATAAAGAATGATTGATTGGTAGGAAAACGGGGTGGGGAATTTTCCTGCAGACTTTTTGGGGGATTTTCCCAGGGTCTCTGATCCGCGGGATTTAAAATTATGAGTTTGGTGGTCACTGAGGTCCAAAAGGTTGGCAACCCCTGCCTTAAGAGATGCCACATTTGAAGAGGAGTATACAAAAAAAGTTAAATCTGAACTGTGGAATTGTTAGGTCTTAGAATGGTCAACGTTGAAGACCTAATGGGTCAGGAGCACAGTTAGGCTATTGGGATGGAGTTTAGCAAACCTATGTTTGAAACCCGAGTGCTGCCCTTGGGTGGGGTTGAGCTCCCGTCCTTCACTCCAACTCCTGCTGGGGAAATGGAAAGAGTCCCCAACTGGCGTTCCCCTACCCCGCTAGGCAAAGGCGATGTCACCAACTAATCCTTTCAACCCAGAAGCGCCTCTGTGCTTCTGACATGCGCGCAGAACCTAATGGGTCCAAGTGTAAATGAATGTGAAGCAGATTTTTTTTGGATTTAAAAAAGGAAAATAATTCATCAGAAAATGTCCACGAATTTAACTTCACAGTGCACTGGATGGTGTCTTTCCCCTTTGTCTTTTCTGGTAGGCCTACAGCCCTGAAGACATGAAAAGCTGGATCAAAGAGATTACGGGCGCGGTGCAGGCATTAAAGAGCTGTCCCCGAGTAGGTCAAAATTCTTTCCACTTCGACTATGGCATCTTTCACTTCTTTTTTTTTGTTTGTTTGTTTTGTTTGTTTGAAGTGGAGGTCATCTGTTTTCATAATTTCAAGCAAACATTTGAAAAAGAGCTCTTTTCCAGAAGAGTTTTCTCCAGCCATCTGAATAAATAAACACATACCGCAAATAACAAGATCACAAATTGAACCAGGGAAAATTAGAGGCATCAGCCATTAAGCTATTTGCAGCTTTGGGCCATGATCAAGAGAAAGTTTGGCCAAACTTGAGAGTTAGGTAACTTCTCAAACAACCCAAGCTCTAGAGATCTTTTAAATTCTCTTTCTCTTTCCGATGCCCAAAATGTTGAGATTTGCCTATTTCAAGCCAAGGATACTATAGCATGGGTGAAGTATCTTAGCAAATGATTAAAGTGTAATTCTCAGCAGTTTCAGCCCCATGGTGAAGAATGAAGGAGTTGTAGGACATCAACTCATTATCTCCCAGTCATATCTACATACCTCACCAGAGTGGAGAGGCAGGGAATGCTACGGATTCCCTCTCCTAAGAAGGTCCATCTAGTGCAGAGGTCTCCAAGCTTGGCAACTTTAAGACTTGTGGACTTCAACTTCCAGAATTCTGGGAGTTGAAGTCCACAAGTCTTAAAGTTGCCAAGCTTGGAGACCTCTGATCTAGTGAGAGGAAGGGCCTTCTCTTTGGTGGCCCTCTCTCTGTGGAATATCATCCCTGCAGAGATAAGGTGAGCCTCCACCTTCGCATTCTTTCAGAAGGCCCTGAAGACCTAGTTCTGCCAATAGTCTTGGGTACCCCAGAGTGATATGAAGCCCATCAAATGTCTCGTTTGATTGTTGTCGCCAGGGGATGGAGGATTATTGGTTTTTTTGTATTGGGGCTCTATCCTTCTAAACTGCCCAGAGTCACCAAGAGTGAGTGGGTGGTCATATACGTTTGCTTAAATAAATAAATAGAATGAGCCAAGTTGAGGGAAGGTCTCAGGTTTCTTCGTCCTGCCTTGTCTTTTTAAAACCCAGCTAGCATTTCAAGCACCCTATTCTAGTTACTCAACATCTGCCATTATCCTCACTGGATAACAAAGAAAGGTGAGATTCTCAGGAAGCCGAATTTTGTGCTCAGCGATGCGTAGTACGACTTGATGTCAATGCTGTGCACACCCTTCGTTTGCAACCATCATGGAAATGAGAGCTTATCATAAAGTTTGGTCATGGCAACCCCAACATATTGGTGGTTAGGCAAAGATCTCACACTTCTCCTGTCATGCAGAGGCAGGTCCATAACCACCTGGCCCAAGCAAAGCATGTAGCATGCTCTGAGACCACAGGAGGGAGCACATGTCTCAGGGCTGCTTGGTCATTGCAATAGCATTTACATTATATACCACTTTACAGTGCTTTCCAGCCCTCTCTAAGCGGTTTACAGAGTCGGCCTCTTGCCCCCAATAATCTGGGTCCCCATTTTACCCACCTCGGAAGGATGGAAGGCTGAGTCAATCTTAAGCCAGTCAGGATTGAACTGCTGGCAGTGGGCAGAGTCAGCCTGCAATGCTGCATTCTAACCACTGTGAAGGAAGGAAGGAAGGAAGGAAGGAAGGAAGGAAGGAAGGAAGGAAGGAAGGGCGGGCAATAGCAATAACACTTAGACTTATATACCACTTCACAGTGTTTCACAGCCCTCTCTAAGCAGTTTTGCAGAGTCAGCCTCTTGCCCCCAACAATCTGGGTCCTCATTTGACCCACCTCGGAAGGACAAAAGGCTGAGTCAACCTTGAGCCTGATGAGCCAGCCGGCAGTCAGCAGAAGTAGCTTGCAGTACTGCACTCTAACCACTGTGCCACTCTGTCTCATATCACTCACTCCTGCCTTGTCTCTGTGGCATGAAGACCAGAGAGCTGCCCTCAAAACAGCAGTGAGCCCCAGTGGGGGGACTCACCTGTGGGTGGTGGCTCTTTAAAAACTGAAGTGGTGGGTTGTGCTGTGCACCTGCAGGTCAGGAGGGTGTGGAATGTGCTAGGTGCAGAATGGACTGGACCAGCAAGACAGAATAGGCTAGATCAGGGGTGTCAAACACAAGGCCTGCGGCTGGCTCCGGCCCATTATATGGTTGGATCCGGTCCACAGAGGCCGTCCTGGAAAATATAAGGGGCCGGCCTGCATCACTTCGGCCCGATCTACCCAGTGTGAAGAGGAAATATGCCAGCAGTTTTGGGAGAGGCATCAAGGTGGCCACCCCCACCCAGTCAGGCACACCCAGTGAGTGGAATCCAGCTGGCTACACCTACCCAATTGGCCGCACCCAACCAGCCCCCCGAGGTCAACCACAGCCCTGATATGGTCCTCCGTGAAATTGAGTTTGACACCCCTGGGCTAGATCATCGTGACTTGGTATGGGCTGAGACTGCTGAAGCTGGGCAGGCCTGTGGGCTCCACAGAAGCTGGAGAGCCAGTGATGGAGGTAAGACCAGTAGTGGAGAAAGACGGCCAATAAATATTATAAGGGCCATTTCGACAGCTGCAATTTTGAAGAGTGGTTCCTAAGTTCAATATTTTAGCATTGTAGTAATTTTGAAAGGTCGCTAAACTTACGGACAGAACCCAAGGACTGCCTGCATTGATTCCTAGCTACCACTTGGTATTCTACTGGTTCAGCCCGGTTCGGGCGAACCGGTAGTAAAAAAATGCTACCATTCGGCTGAACCGGTAGTAAA